CACGATAAGGGGTCACCTTGTCTGAAACCTCATTTGGTATCGAACGGCTTGCAGAACTCTTTCCCGATTCTGATGCAACTTTTGGTGGTAAAATATGCTAGATTTTTTTTTTTATTTTTTTAATAGTTCGGAAAATATTATTTAAAAAAATACGTTTGGATTTAAGAATCCCCATTTCTTAAGATAAATATGTTATAAGAAGGTTATGTCCATACTTGCATTTTTATAACTGCATTTCAAACAGTTCTTAACCTCAAAATTTTAATACTTCGTAAGCGGCTTAGACTCCGTACTGCCATTTGCATCTAACCAGAGCTGTGAACAGGTACCCACCCAGCAAGTTGTTGCATAAGTGCTGTGCAATCCAAAAGCCAAACAATTCTCTGCTGCTGTCAATTCAGACAGTTTTTATGAACTCTTAATCCCCATAATCGCCTACATAATCATCCCTAATTTGAGCACTTCCATATTGTTGCATGCTTCATAAATTTTCTTCATTGCCTTTAGAGAATTATTGGGCTCATGACGATTTTTTCTTATGAATTTCCTAAGTATGCGCACCTTTTTTTTATGCTGCATCCTAGCAACCGCTACAGTATAGCATGCAAGCACAACATTTGTTTTTGTTTTCAACCCTGCAACACCTTTATTTGTCACCTTTTTGCTGCATGCAATATTAGACAACATTTCGGTGGTACCACTTCATTGCTGCGCTTTGTTTTCAATTTGTTGTTGCTGCTTGCTTGCTGTTGTTGCTTTTCATTCACACTGCATTGCAGCGTTTTTATTTATTTTTCGTGATCTTTCAAACTCGTCGGGCTAAATGAAATGTCTAAAAAAAAAAAAAAAATCAGAGCAGAAAATTCCTTAATTGAAATATGATGCCTTTGTGTTGCAGCGCCCGAGCAACCAGTCAACCAACCAAAATGTTGAGGCACCCGCTTGCATGTATTTTGTGACGAATGAAGAGTCGCATAGATGTGAAGCATCGCTTAACTACTAGTACGCAACTGTTGTCTACCGTTGTTGTTATTGTTTGCGGCTCATGTTGCAAATGTCAGCAATTGCCGTTTTGGCATGGCAATGTAGCGTCACAGCGATTTCAAGTGACGATAGACGAAATAGGATAGAAAAGACGAAATATTTGTGTAAAAAATATTTATTTTAATTATAGAAATTATTTAATTAAGAAAAACCGCTCAGAAACCCACGGCATTAACGAAAGCTGCAATGAATTATTTACCGCATTCTGAAGACAATACTTTTCGAGTTCTTCAGCAATCGAGCTTTTTGGATTCTATAGACCGAAAATATACGCGTATATATGTGAGGTCTGAGCTTGTAGTAATCTCAAAGGATCGCATGGGTCATATGAAATATTAGGTCTGAGAAAACTGTTAACAAAATGGGTGGCGCGTTGACTCACTTCAGACCACCTATTTAAGCGCAATGGGAATGAGTTACTGCTTGGTTTTGTGACCGTCAAGGAAATATGAATCGATTGGTACAGCCCAGAGTTCATGACTGTTTCATTAGTTGGAAAGATGATGGTTTTTTCGGACTCACAAGGCGTGACCAACATGAACTATGTACTATTTGGAGAGGAGACAAAACGGTCATATGCAGGCTATATTATGACGAATTATTAAAACGTTTGGAAGCTCTTTCACTATGACAACGAGCGAATTCGTTCATCGACCATATTATTCCGAACTGGAATTTTTTCTTGTTACCAAACTTGAAAAAGTCACTCGCCTTACAGAGTGAAAGAAGTTTATTTTGCTCGTCTCCAGTAAACGTATTTTTCAGATGGGTTACGGAATTTTGAACATCAAGCTATAAGCCGACCTTATTTTCAATTTACATATCCTTTTTCCTTTTGTAGGCTAAGTACCTTCGTATCGGATCTTCCTCAAGCTTTTATATTAGACTTGGTTATGTGTTTGATGTGGAGGAATGTGAAAACCGCAAAGCTTGAAAGAAAGAAAGGACCCCCTTTACCCAAAACCCATCTGGCTGCGAACGAGTCGGTGTTCTGTCGTGTGTGGTGCGTTAGTGGTACATTGTATGAGAATGACTTGCACTTAGCAATATTTAGCACGCCGCAAGGATGGGAGTTCTAACTAAATACTATTCCTTTGTTAGCGGAAACATATAAACACTATCTCCTCGATTCTCTAGCTATCTAATTATGACATGCTCAATGCGCTTTGTCGATAAGCGTCGATGTTTTTTTTTATCAAAACTGAGGCGGTCTGAACTTTACAAAGATCCGGCGTCTCGCCAGCCAGGTCTACGTAAACTGATCCGACGCGGATTTTTATGCGGTCAAGCACTAAAAACCCGGCAACATTAATCCAAAATACTTCAGTGATGTTTTCTGCCGTTACAGCAATAACAACGGACGTTTCTAGCTGCTCAAGTGGCCATTCGTGGCTCCACGAATATCAGCTGGATTTTCTAACCTAATGTAAGGGTGGAAAGTAAGGTATATCTAACATACTAAAGACAACAAACTTCCGACTGAAAATAATTTTTTTTAACAATCGTGAAAAAGGTGGTATATTTTATATAAACATACATATACTATATAGAAAAAATCGGCCAAATATCGCCATTGCAATATGAGAAAGTGTCGCAGGTGCCCGCGCAAACGCAATGAACCCACCAATTACATATGTATGTATATACTAACATATGTACATATTTACCTTTATATAAAGGTTTTTAACAAGAAAACTCTTTTGTTTTACAATTTTCCTATTCGTCCAGGTATATACATACATACATACATACCTGGATATATACTATAAATATATACTTGCTGACGTGTAAATGGAAACGCCAAACAACTTGTACATATTTGAAGAATTTGACACGGAAATCTTTACACAATTTCGTTCGATTTCAACGGAATTCTATGAGCGCTAAATAACAGTACACTCGCAACGTGTGATACGATGCCACAAATGTGACGTTTGCCTCTGTTGCCGGCCACGTACAATAAATTGTTCTAATTTTCAATTATGCTTTCTTATATGTATATCAACGAAATTTAAAACGGCTAATTTGCGGGTCCAGTGTTGGTTTATTGGTTTGTGGTGCAATTTTGGGTAATTGGATGCATTCGTGGAGGTTGATTCTAATGTGAAGGTAGAAATTGCAATTGAAATATGGTAAGAAAGAGAAGGTGACTAATTGAAATGAGTCAAGTGCCATAGCAATAATGGTAAAAGTAGTTTTCTATATGGATTACTTTGTAACTATATTTTGAATTAATAAAACTAATAATTTTGAATAAAAAAA